AAGCACGTAATATGGGGATTGTTCACACTCCTAATTAATCCTAACTTGACTTTATAACTTTTTGACAACATACCACTTACCACTAACTACAATACAATAATATAACCGGGATCCGGACCTGATACCTATACTTTATAATTTAGTATTAGGCGAGCCGTATGCGTTTAACAGTGGTAGAACCAGTGGGCAGCGGCCGACATTTTGGCGAATTCATGTGGCCGCTTGCTTGTTTGCCACCTTATAATATAAAAAGCCTCGCGTGTATTCGAACCGGAACACAAAAAGGTGACAAACGAGCAAAATTACACCGGAATTCGCCAATATAGCCAAGTTACCGCTGCCCATAGACATCCTCTTTTTCAGATGCGGCCAATTTTCACACTAAAAATTCTTAGAATTTCAGATACTTTGGTTGAATTAAACATGTGCTAGATAATGAAACCAAAAAACAGCAAAAGCGCATAAACAGCTGCAGTTCTTGTAAGTTTGGCCATTTAGGCTATTTATAGAATAGAACGTATTAAAACAAGGCAAACCATCCGAATTCGAGCAATATCAATGGTTTAAGGAGTTTGATGTGAAGCAGAATTGAAATGTAATGATTTATGTTTCGAACAACATTTTAATTAACGTAATTTATTTACGAGCGAGGCACGAGACAAGCTCATAAATTATTTACATGATGATCGATGATGCGGCGGGCGGCGGGCGTGCAGTGTTGCTAACGTCACTAAGGAAAGATTTAATCATTAGCTAAGTACCTATTAGAATTTAATATGCCATATGCATTCTTTTTCGGGACATGTCTCACTGTTTTTCGACATTTGCGATGACAGGGCGCACAACACTTTGTCACTAAGTTCGTGGCTAAGTATTCATATGAATTGTCCGCAACACGCAGCAGTTCAGCCCTGAGCCGCCGCCTGCTAGTCTCGTGTCGGGCTGTCGAGACAAGGTCGGAGATTTTACACGCTTACGTGAACCGCTCCAGCCCGAGCGAGCCCGAGCGAGCCCGAGCTGGCGCAGTCTGCTAACGCATTACTATTTAAATAGAGATTTAATGTGCCCAATAGGTTTAAACCGTACATACGAAATGTTAAAACAATTGTTTATTTTGGGAGCGGTAGGCAATTACGCGAGAGATTTGTGTGCGGCGCGCCGGCGGGGCGAGGGCCCCGAGATAAATCTCGCGACGTCACACGTGCCGCGCAGAGTCCCCGGGGACACCACCTCCACTTTGACTTCCTGTGCGTCGCATTGTGCTCGCGCCGGTCGCTGTGGCCTGTGCCACGCCCGCGCCGAGCCCGCCACCACCAGCAGCCGCCGTGCGCCGCTGCGTTATTCCCGCACTGCCTTCACATCGTCCCTGGGGCCTCATATCTTTTACATTAACTTATGATATTCTATAATAAAAACTATTTCATATGTAAAAGACAAGCATAGCAAGTATACAATGTATACCTACAGTATTATAATTCTCTTTTATAATAAAATGTTTGTTAGTGAATATTTACAACTTAATATCTAGTAGGAGAAGCTAAACATAAAATTCGCCTATCTGGTTGCGTTCGTTAACTTGTAACATGACAGAGGTGTCATCGGCTAATGGCATCAGTCGTGTGGAAGCGTTATTTAACACCGTACACAGATCGTAAGGCAGTCCCTGTCAAAACGAAGTATAGTTAAGTTAATGAGCCGAGGGCGCGGCGCGGCGCGGCGAAGGCGGGTGGGAAGCAGATGGTCGGCGCGGCGCGGCGGCACCGTGTGACACCGGAGCGCCGAGCTCCCAGCGCCGAACGCAGTGAATTTTTTGTGAGTGCGCGGGTGCATGCCGCGCGGCACACGTGCGCCCTGGCCGCGCTCTGTACTACGTTTGCGTATCGACACGCCGCGTCGACTTAATGGCTTGTAATATAATTAGCATGACGATTTATATCCACCACGTTAAAGCGATAGTGTGATTAGTGAAACAAAATGATACAGGACGCTTGTGACAGGGAGCAATCAGTTTGCAGCGCACTCTCCGCACAATGTGCTGCCTTTGTATTTGTCCCGAACAAACTTCTCTAATTGTTCAGGAGTTTCTCACGCACTTGGACTTGTTCATTAGGTTAAGCTGTATTTGATATAGCTATATATTATTTGGCACATTTACTGTAACCTTAATTACAGTGTCACATAGTTAGCTTTAGTGTTAGACGGAGTATGCCTTATATTGATACTATCCTCGCTTCACTTCTTAGCAACGTAGTCTGCGTACGCCTCTAACACTTATCTCTGTCTGTAATTATGTATTTTTGGGTTTTGATAGCGCGCGATTATTTTGGTACGATTTATGTCCGTCAATAAATAACACTCGCTTGTCGCATTAACACAAGTCGCAAATGGATTTACCGCCTGCGCCGCCGCGACGCCCGCCGCTGGCCGCTCGCCGCTCGCCGCTCGCCGGCCGTCGCACGCTACGCGGGTCGGCGACTGATGTACTACGACAGACGGAGGGACCCTTTCGTTAGAAATGTCATGAGATGCTGCCTGCATCCTCAAACTACACTTTTCTTATAGGTAATGTTAGAACATTTGAAAAGGAAGATGAAACCTAATTAATGATTTTTTTGTTGAAGGAAGTATTAACTATAAGTTCGACGACAGTAGTTAACACTGGAACTCAAAAGCGAAGAAAAATCCCACAACAATCGTAATAATACCACGATTGCTTTAAAACGGTTTCCCCTCATTGCGAGAAAAATCAATTGTGAACGACTCCAACAGTAGCGGGTTACGGCGGGCGGAGGGGGCAGAGGGG